ACAAAAATTAATTTTACATATACTATCGCTATTAATTACCTGCGATAATAATTTCCTTTCATTGTCTAAGCATTCACATAGCTTAATATAATCACCTTCCAAAAATGAATGCTTGAATGCTATAGACATTGTTTTTGCCACCAATATCTAAAATTTTAACCAATGTTTCACAGCCAAATCACACCTTGAAAGTCCTATTCATTGTTGAAACATAGTAAGTTCAGTTTTTTTAAAATGTTGAGGCTTTAAGAACCTATTAAAAATAAAAGGAACTATCATGGCTAATCGTAAACAGTCTGACATCATGAAACTATCGACGTGAGAAATTGGATTTGGTAATTTTTGCCAGTTTTTTGGATAATCAAATGACTTCCAAATTGCAATAAATGCTGATTTTCCCCCTGAAGAAAGTGCATTGATTGTAATTTTAAGAAATCTTAATACTTTGCTGGCTGTAACATGATATATATTATGTGGTGATTGGAGATGCCTTTCTTTTTTTAATTCGTCAAGTATTGGTGATTTGATACGCAATCCATATTCTGCAGCAATTTCTTTACATTTAGTAATTGTTGGTGCTGCTAAAATTTCATCAAATTGAATGTTTGTAAGATGGTGATAATGAGAAATTAAGGACAAATTGATATTGTCTGATGTCCAGGAATCTTTTGTCGCATTACAAGTAGGACACCCTCTTGTAGCCCCATGTTTTTTAATTCCAGCCAGATCATTGCCTTGCGGCAAATCTGCTGTTACATCCCCAAGACTTGCAATTACAAGACTTTCACTTCCTTCCACATCCATTATTTTTTCTTTCTCTAGTTGTTTCATCTCGGCAATGAAAGGTTCAATAAATTTATCAAATTTGCCCTCAAACGGAACAAACCCAAGCACGAAATGATTTTTTTAGTTGCCTCCTTTTATCAAAGGGTAAATTTCTAATTTGAATATATACACCACCCAGTGAGTGATAGACATTACGAAATGTTCTAAAGTTATCGTAATACAGGTCAATATATAACTTATAAACTGGAGTACTTATTAATAGTTCTTCTAATGCCGCAAATTCAGAGAGATGTTGATAAGAATATACAATATTTCTTAATTTCCAATGCCCTTGATATTTGTAGAGAATTTCACAGATCACAATGGAAGAAGATTCATCAATATCATTTTCATTATAAAGTATAGTAACTGTAATGTGTTTGACAATTTTATTTAGTTCTACAATTATAATAGCATTTTCCTCATTTCGATCCAGCAGCCACACTTCATGTCTACATGATCTTTCTCTTCGATTATTACTTTGCAAGTTGTTTGGCAATTCATTAAATACTAGAATACGTTGAATTTTTATTTTTAGTAGGTCATCTACCTTCACAATCACCAAAATTCTACCAACTCTTGTTGATGATTCTTTATAAATTACAAAATTTCCACAATTATATGTTGCTATAAATATAAAATAAGTGAATGACTAAAAAAAACAATATTAAGCTATCAGTTTAATAAATTAATTAATTTAGTTTCATTAATTTAAATAGACACTTTTCCAAATCATGGTGATTCTTTCCAGATATCGCCATGCCAAAGCTCTTGATTTTTTTTTACTTGTTGACCTGGCCCAAAATATATTTGACTAAGTAGTAAAGGATTATTTAAGGCGTACCAAATAATATCAGTAATAGATAAATAGTACATTTCTTTTGTTTTTCGGGATGTAGATGGAGTTTTTTTGTCAGAGATATGAATGTATCGTGACCTGATTGGAAGCAAAGGTAATCTCTGCCTATACTTCCTAAATCGTCGAATATTTGTTGTGATATATGTACTTTTGAATTGCAGATGATGAATTATATCCACCAATTCATCATATGTGTGAGTAGCTAAATATAAATATGGAAGTTCTTTTTTTAAACAAACAAACTAATCAAGCTTAAATAAAGTTAAACCTACATATATTGTGTTTTTCAACCCAACAAAACATTAATATTTCAGTAATATTATTAAAATATAATGCAAACTCTCTACTAATAGATGGCATTTGTTCTCTGCTTAAGGACTTATCAATAATTTTATCAGGACCTTCTTCATTCGTCATATAATTATTAGATTCTTCACTTATGATTTCATTATTATTAGATATTTCGCTTGAATTTTCATAATCTAATTCTTCAATTGAAGCTTTATCTTTACTTGAAGCTTCATCGTTAATAGAATCTTCACTTGAAGTTTCTT